CATCTTGTTTAATATCAAAGGAAAACTCCAAAGCTTGGTGCAGAGGTTGAACATCAAGCAAACCAAAGCTGTTCTTGAAACCAGACAACCAGAAGAATCAAGACTTGCAGGTTGCAGAAAACAGAACATGGAAATTGGTGGAAGCACAAGGGAAATGTAGCCCCAGCACCAAGGAGCCTGAGGAGCTGTTCTGTGCTCCTCCAATGCCTGCCCAGCTAGTGGGATTAACCCCCACGCTGGGGTTACCAACCCCTGTAGTGACCAGACACAGGCTACAGATCTGAGACTCTCCTCTCCCCGCAGCAACACACGTTGCCTCTGGGTGGGGAAGACGCTGGTGGCAGATTCACAGCCCCCCCAGCCCCACTGCCTGCTCCTTCTTTTTGCAGTTGAGCAGCAAAACTGAGTTGTTTTGATACTCCTGGCCCATTGTAGTGAGTGCTCAGGGCCATCCTCATGGTCTTTCTTAAAATCCCTGTTAATTTGGCAACTCTATCAAGCCTTTTTTTAGAAGACACAGAGCACATTACGTGATGAATGAGGGAGCTAATTGGGACCCACTGGACAGGCAGGGGAGCTGGGGCAGCACAGCAGCCAGCGGGAGCCTCAGCAAAGGAACACACCCCCAGCAGGACACGAGGCAGCCATGAAATGGCTCCTTACCTGGTAGATCATGACTTTGAAGTTCCTGCGTTTCAGCAGCTCAGCCTCGTTGGCCTCCAGCTTCTTGATCTGCCCCGCCTGCTTCTCCAGGTTCTGCCGCACGGTCTTCACGTTGACGCTCACCTTGCGCACCTTCTCCAGCATCTTGTTGACGGTGTTGCTGGTGGTGGTGTGTGCCTTGGTCAGCTTGGTTAACTCCCCCTGGATGCTGGTCACTGCGCTGTCCATCTCTTGCTGTCTCTCCTCCAGCTGTGTTTGGGTCAGCTGGATCTGATCCACTGCTCCAATGATCTTGTCCAAAAGGGTCAGCACCATCACACCGTTGATCTGGTCAGATTTGATGGGTTCCTCAGGTGCTTGCTCCTCAGAGGCCTCGGAAGCAGTTGGTGGTTCAATAATTTGCAAAGTAGTATCCTCCATGATGGCTCGGGAGTCCTGGCTGGCAGAGCCCGGAGACGCCGTCACTACAGGGAGAGAGAGGAGGGAAAACTGAACCCTCGCCTCAGCTCAGCTCCGCACTGGGAGACACGCCAGGAATGGAGAGCACAGTGTGTGGATGTCTGAGCTGCTATTCAAATGGCACAGCCCTGCAAAGCCGACCAGGGAAACTGCCCTGCAAAACTTTCCAGGCTTGCAGGTCATTGGCTGACTCCACCTCAGCTGTATAAAAGGAGCCTGCTGCCAAATGCCTGATGACCCACCCTTGCTGAAATGATTAAAATAGTTGGAGGGGAGGTGATGGCTTTGCATGCAAACACAGGCACAGCTCAGCCAGGAATGCAAAGCTCTGAGCCTGCAACCGCCTCTTCTTCACCATAACTCCAAGGGCTCTGTAAGTAATGAGAGGAAAAAACAAAAACCTTGAGTGAATGGCTCAGGAAGCTGCTGGAGAGAGAGCAATCCCATCTGGGCACAGCTGCACACATCAAAGGACAGCCAGCTCCAACAACTGCACACGTTAAAGCTCAGCTGGAGAAGGCAGATCTTGGCAGCTGTTTTCCAGGACACCAGAGCCTGGTTCTCAGTTCTCTAAGGAAAGGCTACATTTGGAATCGTGGAGTTACAGCACAAAACTTCTGGCCCATGGAAACGCACCCCCCTCATGTGTGGATGAGCACAACAGACCTGCCCGTGATGCACTCAGTGTGCACCAGGACTGTGCAGACCAAACAGAAAGAGCAGAGCTGACCCCTGAAGTGCAGCACCTTTCAGCCCCAGCTCGCAGCTCTGCAACCCTCCATCCAGTGACCAACCCAGTCCCTTCTGCAGGTGGGATGTGCCTGCAAAATGCCCTGCAAAAATGTACCTGCAAGCACTGGCCAAGCTCATGTGCCACACGGGGCTCCATCAGTAACAAAAACACTGATTGTATCAGAATTCTGCAGAGCACATACTGCTCTGGAAAACACAGGGAATAAATAATCCTGATCTTGCTGACTTCTAACATCAGCATTGACACACAGCAGCTCGGTCTGGCGTAGTGTTGGCAGGATGTGGAGCCACCACCAGCTGAAGGGGACCCAGATCTTGGAAGTGACCCTGGGTGAGACCCTGGGCACGGTGGCAGTGCTGAGGCCAAGGACCCGGGCTGCACGGACCGGGACCCGGGCTGCACGACGGACCACCGGGGCTGCACGGACCGGGACCCGGGCTGCACGGACACGGACCGGGGCTGCACGGACCGGGACCCGCGCTGCACGGACACGGCCCGGGGCCGCACCGCCCGCACCGCCGGGGAGGCCT